GTCTTACTTCCACATCCAAGAAAGGGAGGGTGCCGTTTTCTTTTTTCTCCATGGTGAAAATGATGAGGCTTGGGAATAGGCTGTTTAGATGCTTCATAAACGGCGCTTCAATTCAATTTTTACAGAGGGCAAATATGTCATGAACATACCCTTAGAAAAAGGTTGGATAGGCATCTTTGTCACCCATGGTGAAGGTCAAGTGTTCTAAATGTTCCATAAATATATCGGCCAGGGCAGGGGACAGAGGCGATTCCATAGCGATTCCTTTGTACTGACGATATAGATGGCCATTGAACTGAAAGTAATTGAAACCAATGAGACATATCCGGAGCAGCTTAAGAATCGAAGTTGTGGAGAAAGGTATTTTGTTCTTAAGGTTTAGGCATTTGTCAGTTGTTCTTCGACTAGGTCAAGTACGGTTTCGACAGGGATGCTGGTAAAGAGGTCCCTTATCATCCCTTATAGGTCGTAGCTCATCATAATTTCATCGCCGTCGTTCGTTCTTTGGGACAATCTGTTTGACGAACTTCTCTGAATTTTTTACATATGATTGCAACTTACCCGTGTACGACTGAATGGTAAGGCGAAGTAGTCGTGCAACCAAAGCCGAAATGCACGATGATGATGCAACAACAAGTCGCAAAGGGCTTGTGGATCTTTGGTAAGCAGTACAGTTCAGAAAGAGACCAAATGCACTTGTACCGAAGTTTCAATAATATGCCCTTTGCTTGGAGAGCACGCATTTCATTATTCTTTTCCATTGCTGTTATCACTTTTTTCAGGGATTCTATCAACCGTTTTATTGGATCTTCATCTAGCAGGCCATAGCCGTTGTTAAGCAGTTTTGCGCAGGTAGTTAGATATTTCTCCTTATCCATAACCACGATTGCGTTTCCCTTATCTGCTTTCATGATTGCAATGTCGTCATCCTTTTCCAGTTGTTTTAGGGCAATTTGTTCAGACTTACTTAGATTAGATCCAGTTATCTGAAATCTTTTAACTTCGACAGCAGCTAGTTTGGCAAAGTCCCGGATGGCCGTCTGGTGATTTATCAAATATGTTAGTTCAGTCGATGTCGCAATTTCGAGAACTGGCACTTTACTTGGAGCACAAGCAAAATTCAGAATTATGTTCAAAATTCAAAATTTTGTCGGGTTGTAGAAATGACCTCCAGATATAGAGGCTGCTTTGACAAATAAGCAGTCTCGGGCAGGCAGCGGTGAGACCACCAGGGCGAGGCAGAATTCGAGCTCGACAAGTTCGTTCCGTAAAAAAGTCACAATGGCTACTCAAGATGAGGTGAGCGCGACCTGTCTATTTGAAGAAGATAGTCGCAAATGTCAACGCTACCTTGCAGTGGCTCATCGGTTTTTCAAAGGCGAGAAGAGAAAACCTAAGTTAAAAAACCGTACAGAATTTTAGGACCTATCTGCATAAAATTCGCTAGGCCACCACCAGCCTTGCTATGGGGCAGCAAAACTTCATGCGCTATGATAAGACTACAAACTATATATACATCCAGACAGTAAAGAAAGGTATTGTCAATACGCTTCTCCAAAGAGGGTGGAAGGTTTGCGTCATGTAGGGTGATTTTCGCAATGAACTAAATTGCCTCAAGTTAACTTTGCAAAGAAACTATTACGTGGTGAAGAAGCTCAGTGAAGGCGTAGTAAATCTATCAAGACAACCCATCTCTCGCTACTACTTAGACGGTAAGATCTACATCATTTTACCACACGATCGTAAACTGAACAAAAATTTACGATGTACCGCGTTAAAGATGGTCTGAACATTATACTCAAACTTGGCACATGAATTCGCAGTCACTCAGCCACTTGAAAATCAAGAGACCAGAACAGAACCAAAGTCGGGTGCTCAAGCTCTCTTGCTGCTACGGTTCGGGGCACAAATCAGCGAAATAGGCAACACTATTGAGGCAAGAAAGACTAAATGCAAAAGAAACCTCATCAAATGGAAAAACAGTGATACCAGGAAAAAGATCTCAAACAAACGGGCAAAGGAAAGAGACAAAATTGAAAAAAGTGAAAAAATTGCAGGTCGTAATGCCATAACACCATGCTGCAATCTATCCGCATACCAAGTTCAGTACAAGAAGAAAGGCGTCGTCGAAAAGCAATATCTTACCCGTAAAGTTAAGGTGGCACTGCAATCCACCAACTAGCAGCATCAGTCACGACCTTGGTAGAGACGTCAGCCAAGGACGTACCAAAAACATCCAACGGTCGATTAAAAGCAAAGATCAGGGTCAACCCGATCAGGATGAAAATAACGCCGTACAAAACTCATTGTAACTGTAAAGACAGACCGAGTTTGGTCTGGAACATCAGTATTTTCTATAGAATGCTTGTGATTAAAGATTTTGTTTTTCTGCTGTTTATGAATTTCCAAATCATACTGCCATCTGCTGAATAAAAATATTTTGTACTATTTTTATGTTACACGTTTCGCGCTCTTGTTTTGCACCTTATTGACGGGTTACCGTTAAGCTTATGTAATCACTTAGCAACTTTAAAAAAATAGTCTGAAACCATACTCTATGTCCGGCTTTCCATGCAGCAGAAACGAAGATGGGGCGGGCATTTTGCCTTGATTAAGGTAGTGCCAACCTGAAAATGCAAGAACCTCATTAGGAAAGACAATTAGTGAACCAATAAACTGAGCAAACGTACGCAACGCGCGGTCGATCTTCTCCGGATTACGCTTTTCTTCGTGCTTGAACTTGCCCTTCAGAGCCTGGTAACTTAGGTTTGGAAAATGCGATTGCATTGCGCTGAACACAGTACCGGTCGTGCTGAGAACGCGATAGAACTTCAGCGTTTCTACATTCATACATAAGCACATACATATTCAACAAACTGTTTGAACGAATGACTATTTTACAGCATGAATAGTAAGAAAGGAAAGTCAACATTATAACCGTTGCGATGTCGGTTTCTTCTCAACACCTCAATTGTGGTCGTACCCTTTTTTTCAGGGAATCTTTAGAGCAGTGCTGATCACCGTTCCTACGTCATAAACCAAGCGTCCCTTATTTAAAGACACACGCTATATGTCTAGTACAGCAGGTGGCCTTCTGTTTGGTTTCCTGCAAGGTCAAAATTATTTATGTACTTAAAAAGGAAGAAAGGCGAGTGACATGATGGGGGTTGGAATCATGTACCCCCCCC